ACAAAAAAAAAAAAAATTACGATCATGGATTACAAGAAAAAAAAAACAAACATTTCGATCATGGATTACAAAAAATTCTATCATGGGTTAACAAAAAAAAAAAAACAAAAAATTCGATCATGGATTACAAAAACATCGATCAAGTATTACAAAAAAAATCTATTATGGATTACAAATACAAAAAAAAAAAAACCGTACGGGACTCGCCTATTCATTGTACGGACTCGCCGATTCCGTACAGTGAATCGGCGAGTCACTGTACAGAATCGTCTGGTTCTCTCTAGAACCGGACGATTTCCGTTTTTTTCGCCGATTCGATCCGTCCATGGCGATTCCCGAGTCGAACCGGGCGAGTCCGGTTCGACTCAGCGTTTTTTTAAACACTGGCAAGACCAATGGGCTGTCTAGATAATTTATTATAATATAGACTATTTTCATTGTTTGGAATTTTTTTTTTACAGTGATAAAGCCAAGATGATTTGTAAGACCAAATGGGCTGTCTAGATAATTTATTATAATATAGACTATTTTCATAATTTGGAATTTTTTTTTTTACAATGATAAAGCCAAGATGATTGATGCAAAGATTTTTTAATACTCTAATTGCAATTTTTGACGAGTTATGAGGTGACGTTTTACTTGTTTTAATAGTGCTGCATCCCTATCAAACCATTTTCCTTTTCAAAATATCTTTACGAAACTCGATTTTATAAGAAAACAAATCCTGGTATATTATCATCCAAAGGAAACACTAAGGTTAGCCTAAGCTAAGACTTTGCCTGCCCCTCAATTTTAGCATTCTATGTGTTTTTTTAAGTCTATAATTTGCGTTTGTCTAAAGACATTTGGATGAGCAATTTCAAGAAAAGGATTTTGAGTACATCTAGACCAACCAAATGCACCATATTTAATTTCTTCAAAAAAATTGGGTTTTTTTTTTAGCAAAAAAAAAAACTCACTGGTAAATTTGCGAGGGTCAAGAAAATAATTCATGTGCAACAACACGACCCCGAAAAACCTCACACTAACGATGGGGTGTACGCCTATTAAGTGTCCCATTCCCAAAAAAAAAATCTGAAAACCTCTGTATTTTATATCAAGTGAAATTAACTAAAATATTTGATATTTTATATATTTGTCACTACTCCAACTCATGATCAATAATTTTTTGTAATATTTAAAAATAATTCAAAACATATAAGTTCTTTCTTTGGGTTTTAGGTGTATCTAACTCGTAATATTGAACGAAGCTCGCTGGCTCTCTCTCTCCTCCATAGCCTTTTCACACCGTTTAACTCTCTTTTTTTTCTCTTAACGGTAGCAATTTAACATTTATACTTTTTACTATTTTTAACCTTCATGAGATTTAGATTTGGGAATGAGTTTTGCTAACAAAGTCTGAATGGATGGATGGATTTGAAATTTGAAATATGGGCATATAAGCAATGTTTTCAGATTCACTTCATAGGCGTTGGTGAGAAAAATAAAGCAATTTGCTAATTTAAGAGAAATTTTGATTTTGTTTTTAATTTACTATACATATATTAAATAATTATATATATAATATATAAAAATAATAGAAAAAGTTAAAAATAATTTTTTTAAAAAAAAATACTTTTTATATAGATATTTCTTTGTTTATGCCAAATAGGACGAAGCTTGGCTGAATCGGCCCACAGATCCGAACCTAACCGAAGCGGCCCAAATCTGACCTAAGTGGCAGCACCAAGCTTTGTTTCACTTTTATCTAGGTCTAAAATCTGAAGGCTTCGGCCTCTTTAGCCAAAAAAAAACAAATTTGACAACATTGATGAGTGTCTCCGTCCATAGATGGATGATTATGTGGAAAGAATGCCCACTTGGGTTATGCCATGTGGTTTCTGCCTGCGTTCGCAAAATCGGCCGAGTAGTTTCCACTCAGCCGAGTTACTCGGTCTCAAGCTCTTGTCGAGTCCAAGTTGTATTGAGTTGGGTGTCCAATTAGGAGATATTTAAAAAATTTATTATTATTTAAAAAAAAATTATTTGAAATATGTTTTTTTTATGTCGGACCGGCTGGTCCGAACCAGTCCGGTCTTGATAAGTATGCTCTCACCTGACTCCCCATACATAACAAGCGTAATAGTGACTGTAGAGCTTCTATCGTTACTTATATGCATCATAGTATACCATCCAACGATCAATCAACTATTGAATTACAAATACCATATAACCTAATTTAAAAAACAACACAGTATATAGCTAGGCAGCATTTTGCCAAAATGAAAACGGATAGTCTCCACCATCAGTGATGATAAACACACACAGAGTAAGACAACAAAAACATTAGCAAAACTTGAAGGATGCGCTTTGTATAGAGCCGAAGCCCACAATCAAAGTAAAGCGCAACACTAAAAAAAACAACATATATATATATATATATATATTGAAAATCTATATATATTGAAAATCTTTATAATGACCTTAAAATATATTTTTATTTTTAATTATAAAATTTAATGCTTTAAAAATAATATAGATCGAGCAGACTATGAAAACTTCAAAAAGCTTAAAAATTGACCATCCAAAAATGCGGTACAGGACGCATTACTTTCAAAACTTGAAATTCATATTTTCTCATGTCCATGCATCTTGATGTCGAGATGATCAATTTGAAGATATTTGGGCATCAAAACAACCACTTCTAATGAAAATTTTGAGGTGGGCTATAATTTGATTTATATAAACTATTTCCAAACCTAAATAAGGCAAAACTAGAAAATATAAACAAAAAAAAATACAAAAAGGATTAAACGTTTAGCATAAAGGAATCTGAGAAAGTGGGGAGGACATAATCACAAAAGGGAAAGCTTTCTATGTTCCCCTACAACAACATAGAAGTTCTATCCTCCCCTATTCAACCGGCCAATTTTTAATGGAGGGCTAAAATTGCTCCAATCACAATGTCACGTCTTTACATTGTTTTATTATTATTATTTTTTTTCTATAAACTATTTTGACACCAAATTTTAGACATCCATTCCTCTATAAAACTCACACTAATAAAAAAAATTAAAAAAAAATATTTACAATCAAATAAAATAACCAAAATACCCCTGAAAGATTTAAAAGGTATTTTGGTAATTAATTTTTATCGAAAAATTATTGTTAATACTTTTTATAGGTGCGCTCCAATAAGAAGATGGCACATACCAAATTTTATATTCAGAAAAAATATATTAAAAAACTAAAAATAAAATACTTTAAAATGTCGTATATAAAATCAAACGGTGAATGACTCTCTTGATAATGATAAAAAGTGGATAATAATGATAAAAAGAGGATAGAACGTATAAATTGTATGGAGAACATGAAAAACTTTTCCATCACAAAAAGGGAAAGATGAATATTCCATAAAACCAAAATTACTTTAGTTAAAAAGCACAAGTCCACCTAAATTTAAAAAAAAAAAAGTCCATCTAAAGTAGACAGTATATTTAGACAAGTCAAAGACATAAAGCCCTCAAAAGGCAATTAAGTATATTTAGTACGTTGTTAGCTTAAATTTTAAAGTACTTGTTGTATCAAAAATAGAAAAGAAGCATAGAGCGCTTGTCAATTAGGCATCCTAGAATCCTACAAAACAGAATGAAATAATTATTCAACTTCTAAATTCTGCCAGAATTTACACAAAAATCAAATCCCAAAGCCAATTATAAGATAAAAAAAACTGATAATTTGAGACACAAGTTGCCTTACATTAGGAAGAAAAGTAGAAAAACAGTCAACATTTTGAGACATAAAATAAAGGGCATTTCAATTAACTGGTTTCACACAACTTTCTTGCCAGCCAAAAACCCTTATACAGTACACAAAGGTGGCCTTATATTAAGAAGAAAACACAAATAACATAAAAAGGGCAGGCCAATTCAATGAAGGGGTTTTGTCTAAACATACTTGCCAGCTACAAACCCCCTAAATCACATACAAATATCATTAACTAACTGAAACTTCCTACTCTGCAACAAATCCTCTGCAGTTTAAGAGGCTTCCAAACCACAAGGAATCACTTGAGATTCACCCCCATTCACAATAGACCAACTCTTATGAGCATCCTCATAGTTTCCAATGGGTAAAGTTTCCTCTCTCCAAATTGCATGCACCTCATCCGTTCGAAATCTCTGGGTAAAAGTTGATTCTTCCAAAGGAGTAGTCACCCCATGCGCATAGGCAAGGAGGCCAGTGTAAGCAATCATGGCACCATTGTCTATGCAATATCTCTCATCAGTGGCAAAAAGCCTCCCTCCTCTCTCCTCACACATCACTCTCATCATCTCTTGCAATCGCTCATTGCACCCCACACCACCCACAATGAGAACGTCTTTCTTGTCGCAGTGTGCCATTGCACGCTCTGTGATTTCAACAAGCATCGCAAATACAGTTTCCTAAAACAAATGATGCAAAGTACATGTTAAGGTTAGGAGGGGTACAACACAGACTTTCTAAGAAGCCACCAATCTTGGCATCTCTCTCTCTCACACACACACACACACACATGTACACAGACACACACACAATCCTGTGCCTCTCTCTCTCTCTCTCTCTCTTTCTCTTTTGGGAGTTCTCAATATCTGATGTGTAATGATAAAGAAGTTTAAAATCAAACCATTCTATCCAGAAAACATCTTATATTACACTCATGCAAGTAACAGATAATCACCCGACTTCTAATAAATTCTGGTTTAGAAGTACAGGTAATTTTGACCATGCAATAACTAGATACTGATAAATTCTGGTTTAGTAGTACAAGTAATTTTGCCATGCCATAAATTCTAGTTTAGTAGTACAGGTAATCTTGATCGTGCAATAACTAGATACTACACATTTTTACAAGACCCAGATAGGATTGAAAGGATAGTAGCATTAAGATGTAATTTCATTAATGCCACCTGATTCTAAGAGCAAACTGAAAGTTAATGCAAAGGGATCGACACATTTACATTTACGAGGAGAGACATGTATCAAGTGCACCAAACAAATGACCATGTTATCCGGAGTGAATTTTTCGGTGAATTTTAAGCAAATGCTCGAAGTAATCCCTATTAATATAAAAATTTCAATTCAAAAGCAGGATATTTTCAGTCGTTTTGAGGCCTTTAACTCTCTAAGTTTCTTCTCACCAGAAAAGAGCTCTGCAGTGTCCTGCTTTAAACTTTGTTAACATTCACAAATGTCTTGGCCACTAAATTATCCACCTTTCCATGCAAAAACATCGTAAAGGTGGGGTACCATATGTTATATCATGCCAAAGTGTTTCTCTGTCATAAAATAACATGATTTTGTAAAGAAAAACCTTAAATTAACATTCTTTTTAGGTACGGGAAAGCTTTTTTTCCATTGGGCAAACTAGCTCAGTTGTGAATATCATGACTCGAATTCAACTCTTGTAATCTAACAATCAATTTCACCGGTACTCGGACTACATATAAATATGTGCACAGGCATCGGAGAGGCGTACAAGAGAGAGAGAGAGAGAGAGAGAGAGAGAGAGAGAGAGGAGGACGAGTAGTAGTTTAGTACGTACAGTACGGAACGGGGTAACGTATTTACGTTTTACGTTAGTTTATAGAGTAGAGAGAGAGAGAGGAGGGAGGGGAGGGAGGTAG